CTAGCTCTCTCAAATAGATAAAATCCTTTTAAAAATTTTTTTAAAAATTAAAAAAATAAATTACCACATTATCTTACTACTGTTGTCCTCTGGGAATAAGCCCTCCCAGCCCTTTTTTGAATATCGTATATACATATTTTCTTTTATAAAATCTGGCTTATATTATACATATAAGTTGTGGATCCTGCATTTTTCACATACTAATCAAAAACATTTTTTACAACATAACTTAAACATTTGGAATATATTTTGGAAGAAGTATATATTCACATGAAAGAATATACACTCATCTTTCTCCTGTCCCCCTCTTGGGAGGCAGCCCATGTTATCAGTTTCTTGTGCATCCTTCCATAGATACTCTGTACCTAGTACCTTTCTCTGTCTGTTCCTTTTATTTTACCCATATAGTAGCAGACACACAACGGTCTGCACTTAGCTTTCTTTCCAATGGACATTAGATCTTAAGAGATCATTGCATATCAGTGAAAAACTTTTACTCTATGTATATGCCTTAGGTTGTTTTTAGCAATTCCCTAATGATAAACATTTTGGTTGTTTCCTTTATGAAAAATGCTGCAACAAATAACTTTACAACATGTTTTTAAATGACTAAAGAAGTGTGTGGTATAGATATACCATAATTTACTCAACTGGTCTCTACTGTTGGACATTTAGATGGCTGCTGCTTTGCACTATTATAATTAATGCTATGATAAACACCTGAAATCCTTGCACACATACATGATCCCTCTCATAGGATAAACTCCCAGAGACAGATTGTTAGCTATGCAAACTTTTGAGGATTATTTTCTATGTGTTGAAAAATCATCCCCTGGGAAGGTTGACTGAAATGATATTCCTTCTTAGCAACTGAGAATCTACCAACTTCCTGGCACCTTCATTTTTTTTTTTTTTTTTTACTACTTGTAAACTATAGACATTTAATAAATGGTATCTCATGGCTGTTTTAATTCACATCTGTGATTACTAATGAGGTTGAATATTTTTATGCTTATTGGTTACTTATATTCCTTTTATTTTTCTATTTGTGCATCTGTCCTAATTTTTTTTTAAAGATTTACTTATTAATGGGTGGGGGGGGGGCAGAGGGAGAGGGAGAGAGAAAATCCTCAAGCAGACTCCTCGCTGAGCGAGGAGCCAGACTGGGGCTGGATCCCAGAACCCTGAGATCATGCCCTGAGCCAAAATCAAGACTTGGATGCCCAACCGACTGAGCCACCCAGGTGCCCCGTCCTAATTTATTTTTAAGTGTTCTTTATATATTACAGTAACTAACCCTTTTATGTTGCACATAGTAGATGTTTTAACAACTAAAATGTTTTCTTCTAATACTATTTATCTTATTAGTAATTGGACAAGATTTTAAAAGGTGAATCATTATTAAAATAATTTTTATTGACAAATTAAGCAAATATATAAAACATAAACCTACATAACCTAACACAACTCAGTAGAGCACACTGGAATCTGCTGTGATGATATTCTCACAGCAAAATTCACTGATGCCGTTTTCTCTCAGAGAAAGGAAGAATGTTGAAATTCCAGCATTCCCAAATCCATCTCTAGGTCACTTTCATTGGTTTTACCCACAGTTAATCTCTTTGTGATCCACTTGAACAGTGAGAACAAACCTAGATTTGCTCCCAGTGAGCCAGAATTCAATTTCAGACAACCACCTTTAATAACCTAGCACCACAGAAAATTTGAAATCTGATCCTACCACACACTGAAACATTCATTTTGGGTCAAAAGATTCTGGTAACCCAAGCCACTGTTTACATGCAAGTGGATTTATATTCATGTTGACTCAGACACAATTCTAAACTTATCTCAGTTATATTCTCCTCTTTAGAAAATGAAACTTATAAATGTAAATAGAATAAAGAACTGAATTAAATACAATTTCATGTTTTTTGCTTTTTGTCTTTTTAAAAAAATAACTGAACTTTTTTTTGTTAAATCATTACCAAGTCTAATTACCAAGGGTCAGTGTGGTACCTGGTAAAATCTAGCACAGATAAAAGTACAAAGATAACTGGAATCTTTCTGTATTGACACCAATTTGGAAATTAAACTAATTCCTATTTAGTATATTTAGCTTCAAATTTCTTTAACATTAAGTAAACATTTTTATTGAAATGTACATTCATAAGGTATGCAAATTATGTATACATTTCAGTTAGTTTTTAGAAGGTAAACATATCCATGTAACCACATCAAGACTGAGATAGAGAAAATCATTAACACCCCAGAAACCTCTTCAAGACCCCCATCCCTGGCTCTACACCCCTGTGCCTCCTCACTCCTGGAAACCACAATTCTGAGTTTTCTCACCAAAGATTAATATTGCCTTGTTATTGAATGTTATATAAACAGAATTATTCCTTTGTCTTTTAGCTATTTTTAAAATGAGTTTGAAAAGTAAATAACATTATTTATCTTTTCATGAAGAAATATATTCTCTATGCCATTCCCTAAAGCAGATTTGTTAATTTTGTCCATATATAAGTACCTAAAATGGCCATCTCATCCTGCATCTGTTTATACATATTGGCCATTTTAGAGGGGATACAGGTTACCAGAATTAATCCAAACTATGGTAATTTATATGGATTCTATTTTAGTTTTAAAAAAATGTTGTTTTTTTCCCCTAAATACTGAATTTTGAAGCTATTTACTCAGTGAGTTTTATACTTTCCTCATAATGACCTCCTCCTTTTAAGTAATTTGAAAATAGTTCTTTGTCTGTATATGCAGCAATTTCTACAGTTGCTAATCTTAAAATAGCACTTTGATGCTAGTAGATATTTGGCTTGTGAAAAGTCGTATGTACTTCTAATTTAAAATACTACTCAGGAGCCAACTTTTCTGTATTCAACTAGTATCATACATTTGAAACCATTTTGATGTTAACTGTTTTAACTGCCAGTGAGACCAAAATCATTTTTATATACCTCCACTAACTGAAATGTATACATAATTTGCATACCTTATAAATATTTATGTATTTAATATATGTATTTAACTCAGTTCTTCTTCTTTATTCTATTTACATTTTTAAGTTACCAAATCATTAAGCCCTGATAAATATTGATCGTATGACACAACATACTGACAAAATCCAACTGATTCAAGAGATAATTTATGCCTAATTAACATGAAAGACCCTTGAGGGCTATCTTTTTAATAGCTTCTCTCAACCTGTGTTCAGAACACCAGGCACTGTAGTTATTTTTTTAAAAAAGTATTCAGTATTTAATTGAATTTGGGAAATGTGGAGCAAGACATAAATGCTTCTTTACTATGGGATTTCTGAAAGCCTTCATAAATTAATGAATATTGTGATTCTCTACAAAAGGTTATGTGGTATGTAGCCTTTCTAAAAGCCATGTCCCCTCCCCCACCATTGCCCCCACACCAATTTGCACAGTGTTCCTCAGGACACACAGGAACATAGTTTAAAGCACAGCAAAGTTCTGAGAGTGCTCTCAGCAATTTCCAACTGTGCTAAGTGTACCTTTAAAGACTCTGTGCATAATGTAACCTCCTCTGATTTTGAACAATAAACTAAATGGGCATAAAATAAAACTGATCCATTAACAAGTGTTTTTTGAAGGTCTACTATCAAACAACCAGCACCAGCTTATGGACTGGCTGGTGCAATGAAAGCTGGAGAAACAGGATTTTTTTGTGTTTACATGTGACCAGGGCCTACTTCTGTGAAATACATGTATACAGACAACATCAACTTGGCCCACCTTCATTAAGTCAAGTAAGACGCTATTTAGAATTCCAAGGTATCTTCTCTCCAATGTCTGAGGATGGTTAACAGCTGGAAACTGTAGGAACAGGACAGGAGTGTTAGCACGTGGGGAAGGGGACACATGTGCATATGTGCTGTGAGTGCTGGAAAAGGTAGCAAAGGAACAGAAGTTACTGCCCTAGTGCCAAAGTCAAATTCATTTCATGTCTATCACTTTTATGTCTATGTATTTGAGGTACAGATTAATAGGACTGGGTGTTAAGTAACAGAAAAATGTACAGATGAAAGAGGATATTAAATCTAGTCAATGAAGCATGTAAAACAAACCTAACTGTAAAAATTTGAGTGCATACAGTTTACACAGTACTGTCTTGTTTCTATAGATAGTTCAGTTATAATACAGTTTATACAGAATTTGTCTGCTTACATAGACAATTCTTAAGCCTTTTTCACAACATCATTTACTCCTGAAAATTGGAGAAGTGAAAAAGAAGAGAGAGAGAGAAGGGGCACCTGGGTGGCCCAGTCAGTTAAGCTCAGCTCAGGTCATGATCCCAGGGTCCTGGGATCAAGCTCCGTGTTGGGTTCCCTGCTCAGTGGAGAGCTTGCTTCTCCCTCTCCCTCTCCCTCTGCTTCTGCCCACCCCCCAACCCCGCTCATGCTCTATCTCAAATAAATAAATAAAAATCTTAAAAAGAGAGAGAGAGAAGGCAGAGAGGTCAGTACTTGAAAGGCCACAGAAATAGCAATAGTGAATTCAGACATATGTTCTAACATTGCTTTTATTTATTTATTTATTTTTAAAGATTTTATTTATTTATTTGACAGAGACAGAGACAGCGAGAGCAGGAACACAAGCAGGGGGAGTGGGAGAGGGAGAAGCAGGCTTCCTGCTGAGCCGGGAGCCCGATGTGGGACTCGATCCCAGGACCCTGGGATCATGACCTGAGCCGAAGGCAGATGCTTAACCACTGAGCCACCCAGGCGCCCCTAACATTGCTTTTAAAATACTCTTTTAATGACCTATTTTCAATTCCTTCCTTTACCTAAGTTGGAACAGAAGACAAACAGTCTCCTAAATTAATAAATGCCTTTCTAAATAAAATGAGGAGAAGAGGTCAAATTTATTTAGGTGCTCTGTCCTCTCTGGCACCTCGCATTTTGCAACATCTAAGTGGATGAGAAAGTATTAGAGCCCAATGCCATGTACTCCATCCTAATGGGAAGGCTCCTTTGCTTTATTTCCTTTATACCAATATAAAAGCATGTCAGGGGCACCAGGGTGGCTCAGTCGGTTAAGCGTCTGCCTTTGGCTCAGGTCATGATCTCAGGGTCCTGGGTTTGAGTCCCACATCGGGCTCTCTGCTCAGCAGGAAGCCTGTTTCTCCCTCTCCCACTCTCCCTGCTTGTGTTTCTGCTCTCGCTAACTCTCTCTCTCTGTCAAATAAATAAATAAAATCTTAAAAAAAAAAAAAAGGCATTTCAAAGTACTAGAATCCTTAAACGTGTTCAATACGTGCATGGGAGGACTAGTTATGGAGAAAAATTCAAACAAGGCACTTAAGTTGAGATTATGACATTATCTATTATCTGCACACTGTGCTAGGGATGGCAGGAATTACAGCATATGGGTCAGACCTAAACCATGCACTTAAGCAACCTACACTCTGGCTGGGACAGCAATCAGCACTGAAATGTGCAGCCAAAAATTCTACTTGAAGCTTGGAGCAAGGAGAGACCAAGGTGGTTTGCAGCTGGAGAAAAAAAGAATCCACAGATAATATTTGAACTAGGTTTTGAAAGATAAGAAAAATGTGAGGACAGAGAAAAGTAGGACAGCACCCCAGATAAAGGAAGTAGAAGGAATAACATGAACTTAACACAGACACACAGGCAATAATCTATAACTAATTACAGAGGGAAGTGATGCTCTACAAGGCATTTTAGCAATTCTTCTTATTTTAGAGATGAAGAAGGTGACAATCAGGAAGTTCAAATAACTGATTCAAGGCAAGTTACATAATTAAAAAGCAGAACTAATATTTGCACCCAGGTCTATAATCCAAACCCACACTCTTTCTGAACCTAGGCACCTCTCTCAACGGAAGTTCTTTTGGATGTTGTTGGAGTATTAAATATCAGCCCAAAGAGAGACACCTGTCATGCTGTGATAAATAACTCTGTACTGCTACATTTTAATTAATATTTTGCTTATGAGGTCTATCTTATGCTACCAGATGTCCCTTTCTTTCTTCAGAAGTAACATTTCATTGATAAGAAAATTAATGCAGAGTGAAAAGGTATTAAAAATATTATGATAAAAAAATGACCAAAGTTAAAAAAAATTAATATATATGCTTTTGAATGAAATTTACCATTCTCATGTAATAATTCAACAAATAACCAAAACTTAAGTATAAAAGTTTAAATTATATCCCAATGAGTAGCTTTTCTTTCTTAATCACTTGAACAATACAATACAACGAGAGTACGTCTTTAGCGAGCACTTACTATGTGTCAGGCACTGGTCTGGGCATGTTACAGATAACATTTAACCTTCACAACAACCCTAAAGGGTAGTACTTCTGTTATCAGCATTTTCTACACAAAGAAACAGAGGCACAAGAAACTTGCCAAAGTCATTCATGTAGGAAATATGGAGCCAGGCTTTGAACCCCAGCAGTCTAACTCCAGAGTCTATGCCCTAGACTATGGGACATCAACTGTTACTTTTTCAAAGTAAAGCATACCAATAGAGCAACATCTTGTTGACTTCCCAATCTCTACACAACTGAATCAAAACGCCAATAACACCAGACTGGTCACCGGTGAGTCTGTATCTCATGGAAGTTCCAGTTCCCACACTCTACACGCTTAGCTATCTTCCACAGATATTCTCCAACAAAATGATAAAGGAAGACATTTCTCTCAAATGACATTGCTAAACCTCCAAAAAGATTAATCTAATTTAGTTAAAATACCACAAACACATTCAGACTAAACTGTAAAATATTAAAGTTTATAAAAATCAAAGTGTCATGGAAGCAGCAATTTCTATGAAGGTTATTTATAAGCGGTGCTGTCATGTGCTATCCAGCATTTTACAGATAATACTATTTAGTGAGGAGACTGTGAACAAAACAGACCACACACAAATGAGGGAAAGAAATCCTTCATTTGGCCTATCTAATCTAAATGCTACTCATTCTTCATATCCATACAAATTTCAAATTTCTATAAATCTTTCTCAAGTGAATCCAGCCAACTATGATGTCTAACTTTCCAGAATGTTTAACACTCTCATGGTCTCAGCCATACTGAGAGATGTATTAGAAAACAGTGCAATGCAGTAAAGAATGAGGTGCTTTATTATAAGTTATATTGCTTTCTGAGTATTTCATGCAAAAATGTCTCAATTCTTCAGCTAGTTTATAAGTTATTAAGGCCAGGTACCATAACACATCTGTTTACACTCTCTTCAGGCAATCCAGCATGGAGTCTCTTTAACCAGGCAAAGAACAGGCAGCTAGCAGGCCAAGCTTGATGTTCCAGAAGTTACTGTTAAAATCCTGAGGTCAAATATTCAATCTTTCATTACTATTCAACCTTGTAGGCACTACTCTAGATGTGCTGTGAATATAATGGTGGACATGATAGTTCATTTCCTCAAGAAATTCATCAGTTCAGTGAGGATACATTTTTTTTTTTTTAAACAGCTATTTAAAAGAGATGGCAATGAGAGCCACTGGAGCGCAGAAGGGGGAGTCACCCACTCCCTGGAGGAGTCTAGAAGGGCTTCCCGGAAGGAGAACACTTGACCTCAGTCTGGGGGAAGGAGGAGGAAGAGCTGTCCATGAAGTAGAGCGAGTACTAGGAGCATCATAGAAATGAAAATACAGCGCTGTAGAAGGAACATGTCAAGGAAATGGTAAGAAGTTCAGTACGTTGACAAGTAGGGTGCAATGGTGGGAATGAGTGGCAGACAAGGCTGGAGGGCTAAGAGCAAGGGGTTCTTAATGCTATCCCCTAAGGAGTTTAAATGTAAGCAATCCCATACAGACTTTCAAATACAAAGGAGATATAATTGAATGTGTAATTTGAGGGAAGATTATTCCAAAGGCAATGTGAAAACACTAAAGTGAAGACAGAAAGTTGGAGAAATGTGTTTAGGAGTGATCATCAATATTTCAGGTAAAAAGGTGCTAAGGGTGAAAGAAGCATTAGAGATGGAGAGAAGGGAGGTTCAGCTGAACTTGAGTGCTGGTGACACAAACTGGCTCAATCCATCATTCAAGTATTCACTGTGCCCCTAACTAGATGTGCTGGGCTCTGCTATAGATGTTAGAAATATAGTGAAAAAACAGTTGATTTCTGCCATTGGGGAGTTTATACTCCAGTAGTTGAGAACTCAACAGTTAATAATTAACAAGTAAACAAATGAACAACACAACTACATACCAGGGGAAGTGCTAGGATGGAAAAAAAAAAGGGTGGTGCTATGGGAGACACTAGGAAGAGGGTGGGGGCAGTATGTTGGTGTCATCAGAGAAGGGCACATTCTTTTTTTTTTTTTAACGATTTTATTTATTTATTTGACAGAGAGAGAAACAGCGAGAGAGAGAACACAAGGAGGGGGAGTGGGAGAGGGAGAAGCAAGCTTCCCGAGGAGCAGGGAGCCTGATGCGAGGCTCGATCCCAGAAGGGATCATGACCTGAGCTGAAGGCAGACGCTTACCGACTGAGCCACCCAGGTGCCCCAGAAGGGGACATTCTTGGAGCTGAGATTTACGAAGTGAGAAGGGACCACACAACAGAAGCACCTTCCCGGGAGAAGGAGCCACAAATCCCAAATCCATGAAGCTGGAAAAATCGTAAAATGTTTATAGAAGGCAAAGAAAAGGAAAGACAAGTGTGGTAAGAGTTTGGAGAGGAGCGGGCACCATGTTGGGTGCTCTCATGTATGAGGAGAGGATGCTCTTCAAAGTGGAATGAACGGAGGTCCAGAAAGTCAAAAGAAAAAATGAAGTGCTTTGCGAATGTCAAGAAAACATGGTTTGAGAATCATGCATTTAAGAGAAAGAAAGGAAGTGGCGGTGAGCTTATTTTAGAGTTCTCACAATGGTCACCAATTGGCATGTTAGCCCAGAGTAGTTGAAAACTAAAAAAGTAGCTTTGGGGGTAGATGGAAGAGAGAAGCAGCCTATATCTGGCTACTCTAATAAGGTGCCTCTGCAAGTTGCTTGTCTCTCATCTGGGGAAAGTTTATACCTTAAGATCCTTTTTAAGCATATGCTCTGAAAACAAGTTTTGTACAAAGTTAGCAAGTCTAGAAAAGGCTGCCCAAGACAATATACTGGCTTGAAAAGAAGATCTGATGTTTCACTGTCAAGAGACAAGAAATACATGCTAGAACACAACCTTTAAATCTATAGAATGCAAGTATTCATATTCTCCCTCAAATCATTACAAATACATTTGTTCAAATTAGCAAGTCATTTATACATTTTGTATCTTTTGGGGATGCTTAATATTTTAGACAAAGAAACATTCTGAGATAACCAAAGTGTAGAATATAATAATGCATATGCTAGAACAGAGTTTGAAAATTTGGAACTTATAAATTAGGAAAAACATTAGCAGCTGCCACTTTCAAATTCAGACTACTTCTTAAAATTCACAAATACTATATAAGATTCAAAGATAAAATATTATAATGAGGATTATAAACATTGTATTGGGAAAGGGAATAGTATTCAATGGACAGCTTAGCATTCCATTGTGCAATGAACAATGATTTAAATACTGCTGTACTGATTCCATTTGGAGTTTTAGTAAAGCCTCTTACCCGGAGCCCATGGAATCGGGGATTACTGTAGAAGAGCTTCATCTGTTCAGATGGAAGTGGTCCTAGCACCTTCTGAATAGTAAAAAGTTGGTCAATTTCGCTTTCTCCAGGAAATAAAGGCTGTCCATCGCTAAGCTCCCCAAGAATACAGCCCACTGACCACATATCGACGGACTTTCCATAGGGAGCTCTGAAAAGCAAAGGGAGAGATTATCTTGGCAAATGAAGAAATACATTTTAATAATTTCCAAATTACTTTGAACAGATTCATGATTTAAAGCAATTTGTGTATTTAAGGAATTAAAAATGAGGCTGAAAAAAAGGAATTACGGATATCCAAGTAAAAATTCAGAGCACAAGTAAATAAATCTATGCTAGTAAAACCATCAGTTTAATAATAATTTAGTTGGTATACACTAAGTTGAAATCTATTCATATCTGGGCATATCTTGAAAATGAATGGCTTAATAAACCCTAAAACAGTGCACATGTCTGATGAGTTAACACTTCACTTAGAAAATCAAATGCTTCCAAGAAATGCATTTTCTAGGTAATTATCCTTTAGCTCTTGAAATGTCAAAAAGTTATATACCTCATCCATTTTTTGAGATCAGTCTATTAAAATGTACTACCGACTCACGTGTCTTCTTAAACAATAAACACTGAGTACTATTTAACTTCTGATTGCATAGAATCACAATTTCTAATACCTAAGAGTGGGCTAAGCTCTACTGCATTATTTACCTAAAACTATTTGTACCCTGTGTATATGGAGCTTTATGATAACTATTTGCCTCAAAGCATGGTTTTTCCATTTCCTTAGGGGTTTACAGTTCCCCTCTAGGATCTGAGTTTACCAGAGGGCTTTAGGATTATTACTGTTATTAATAAATGGAGGCTGTAAGTGAAAACCTAAGTACTCCAAAAACAGCTCTATATGTATGCCCCAATATCTATAGTCTTAAATCAAATTATATGTGGCAGATTAAGAAACCGTATTCTCATTAGTTTCAAACACAAATAATCCAAGTTTTAACAAAGGAAAGCCAGGGGTGCCTGGGTGGCTCAGTCGGTTACGTGTCTGACTCTTGGTTTTGGCTCAGGTCATGATCTCGGGGTTGTGGGATCGAGCCCCACATCAGGCTCCATGCATGGAGCCTGCTTAAGATTCTCTCTCTCCCTCCCTGTACCCCTCCCCCCTGCTCATACTGTCTTTCTTTATCTGAAGAAATTAAAAAAAAAAAAAAAGTTAAACGAAGGTAAGACAAAATAAAGTATCTGAAAAAAATACGGGATGAAATTCTAGAATGCCATAATGATACAGCAGGAATACAAAACTTTTAACAGACACTCTAAATTAAAGCACTGTTAACACTATACAGAATATGTTTCTAGGACAATAAGTCATTACAACTGAAAGTCAGTATTTTCTTTATCTCATTTCCTTCCCACAAAAACCTAAGGACCATATTAGGAAACTTCATGCAAATTTTTTTTTGGTAGCTTGATGGGGAGGGAAGGATACTGATCTTTCTTTAATATCTGTACAGAAGAAAAAACTTGTGCTAGATAGAGAAACTTATGGAAAATCTCTACATACCCAAATTGCGCTATTTTTCTTCTGTCAACGGATGTGAATAATTTATGCAGCTGGAATTATTTTGAATGTCAAGAACAAAGTCTTAAGAATGTACAAAAATGTAAATTCTTAATATTAACCAACTATCAACTGATGTCAATGGGATTTTTACACGAATAATACGGTTCTTCAACTAGTACTTGACAATCGTTTAATTAGCAATATATAATTTGGCTCAAATTAATTGGAGTCCCCATCTACTTTTGGTAGCTCCCACACATCTCTAAACATAACTGCAGCTTCCTGACAGGTATTATTAGGCAGCAAATACTCTCTGAAGGTCTATAATAAGGGTGTCCTCAGAATGAACTCCTTGGGGCCATCATATAGACAAAACCTATCATAAAAAGTCCTCTACCATACTTGAATCCTCGGATGGTGTTCTAAGAACGACCTACTTCATACTCATTTCTTCTTTGGTAAATCTGTCCAGTAAACTCAAATTCCAATCCTTCCCAAAAGAAAATGGATTATGCATCCCATTAAGTCCAGACAGAGGTACACAGAAAAAGAAACAAAGACAAACATAAAAGAAAATCAATCCTAAAACCAAATTTAAAAATTAGCACAGAAATTCTAAAATCTATCCACACAAAGAGAAATAATGAAATGACTAACCACCATTTGCTTCCCAAGATAAACCAAGCTTTTGATTTTAAAAAAAAAAGAAAAAAAAAAA